TTTTTTTTTTTTTTGTATTTTATTTGTTACTGAAACTACAGACTACAGATTTATTTCAAACATGATCTAAATGAGAGCTACTCCCCCCAACTGTATACGGTAGATAATGTTCAATCTGGAAAAAACTCCTCATCTCAAAAGTAAATGATTATAAATTTAAGCCCATATGGAGTATTCAAAATCAAAACGGGATTTATTAAAAATGAAATGAAGCAAAAATAAAGACCTGGAAGACAGAAGGATCTATAATAAATTTTGTTATATTAATAAGTGCAGAAAATGACCAAAAATTCCTTTTTGTTGAATCTATAGGTTACAACTGTAGGTTTAGCTTTTACAGATTTGTGTTTTTAGTCTTTTATGTCACGGGTTTAAAACATGAATTATTAAAGGAGGCAGAGTCCTGATAAAGCCACAGTCTCAAAGCCAACACTCAAAAATGTCAGTGTCCTCAGAGACTAAAACTATAACACTTTTTCAACCTCTTACAGTAGTATAAATGTGCAATATTTTCAGTTTTATTTTCTAAAATATAGTTTTTGATTTCAGTGAACAGCATGTTTTTGTTTTGTTGTTTCAGGTATTACTGAAGTAACTTTGGACCAAACTGGGATGCTGGAATCGCATCAATAGCACAGACATGTGTTGTTCATTGAAATGCTGTAATAAATCAAAACTACCCTACATATATTGTTTATGGTATTTAAAGTTAAAATTAAATCCCAGCAAAGTTGAAATGCATCGTATGCGCACGTCTTCAGCTGTTTGTGTGTTCACAGATCAGCTGAACATGCAGCACAGCCTCACAGGGCTGCTAATGTGCCCGTTGACTGGTGTTTGTGCCGCTTCCCGGCACGTAGCCAGCATACTGGAGGTCAACAGTGGGGTCAACAATCCAAGCCCTCTGCCCCTCCCAGTGCAGCCTTTCAGTCAGCAAACTGAGGCCTGCGAAACTGGAGCGAGCAGTTTCTCAGCCCTAAAATGTGGCTCGGTTAATTATTCTCCAGAGGCTGGGTTGTCTCCTGGTTTGTCTTATTCCACCGCGAAGGTCTCAAAGCTCCATACTAAGTGGTTAAACAACGTTTATCAAATGGTTTATGTATTCAGCTAAATGTTTTCAAAGGAAATAAATATAACTAGTCAATTAAAAAAAAAACTGTGATTTTAGAATTAGAATAGAATAGAATAGAATTCAACTTTATTGCCATTGCACATGTCACAGGTACAAGGCAACAAAATGCAGTTTGCATCCACCCAGAAGTGCTTTAGCACTCTTTTTTAGCACTTTAGCACTTTTTCCCTCCTCGGTGAGAGCCGCAGACCTGTTCATCGATGTTCAGTTTCTAAACGTTTTAAATGACTGATTAAACTATGCTGTGGACACAGGACGGTGCATGTTTAGCTGATGTAAAGTCCTCTGGATGATTTTTTGTGGTTAAAAAATGATCAGGCACACAGCCACTCAGTCTCATTCTCACCATCTGATGATGAATCACTGAATCCTGTAACACACCCATGAGTCAGTCAGTGAGCAAGGGCCGGACAGGGAAAAAAGGCTCACATCAGACTTTTCTTTATTTCCAAAAGCCTTTTTTTATTCTGCTTTATTTCTCCATCCATGCATTCACTTTTCATCCATGCCATCATTTATTCAAGTCACAGGGGAGGCTGTCTAAGCAGAGATGCTTACTTCATCTTATTTATTATTACTTACTTTGCCCATATTAGCTTCTCTTCTTTGGCTTCTTGTTAAAACCAGAACTTAAAATCTTTCTCTTCGCATGCAAGGTCTTAAATAATCAGTGCATCACCTTCAGTTTTCAGGCTGTACTTTGAAGATTTGGCTTAAAACTTTCCTTTTTTTATCAAGCTTGTAGTTAAGGCTGTATCAGGTGACCATCCCTTAGTTGTTCTGCAATAGGTAAAGGCTGCTGGGCCTTTCCCATAATGCACTGAGTGTTTCCCTGTCACTCTACATGATACCTGGAGCCGCCACAGGCTCAATACCAAACTTGATGAGAAACATTTTTTTAAACAACAAATTTAAAAGAGGCGGAGTCAGAGGACTTCACATATGTGTTTAAATTTTTCATCTGGAGATTATCATTGAACAAAACTTCAAGGCAATTCATCCATCTGTATTTTAGCATCGCACAGCTCGAAAGACAAAAACAGCTTAAAGTGAAATGAAGCAAATCTTCACATTTAAGGAGTCTGAGGAAGACGGTGCTGCCTTACTGATAAAGAGGATGATGCAAACCTCAGTAATCCTTTCTTGACTGTTTGTGTCAGGCAGTTACTGGTCAACAGCCTCCACATGCCAGCAACCTTACCGCTCTGTGACCCCCCCACCAACACAACCTGGTGTTTACTAGAAGCCTACATCTTCTCCCACCCCCTCCCACTCAGCTGGCAAGATGTCACTGCTATCTTTAAGTGAACAGCATCTGGGCATGTGGGGGTGACAGCAGAGGTGAGGGTTACTGGCTGTAATGTCTGGAGACGTGAAGCTTGTGACAGGCCAGCGGGAATGCCTGCCAGAGGGACTACTCATCTTCCAAATCTCGCCACTGGATCTGTGAGGTGTTGCATCCTAAAATAGCCCGACAGAGTATAAAAAGACCCACGGGGAGGCCGGGCCTTCAGAGGAACTCTTCACTAGAAAGCAAGAGAGCCACACTGAGAACAGACCGACTGATCTTTTTCTAGTTGCTGCTTTTGAAAACTTCTGCAGAGACCATGATGAAATACTATCACTGCCCTGCATCCCAGACCTTGGGAATCAAACCTTGCATCCACGGCATCCCAATCACCTGCAAAGGCGCTGCTTCTCTGAAGCCAATCCGAAGTGTCCACTTCCCCAATGACGTCCTTTTCCAGGACTATGTGCGACAGGGCGAGCTAGAAAGGATTGGACGCTTCATCCGCGCCCAGAGAGTGACGCTCGACACCATTTACCACTCCGGTGAGAGCCACACGAATGTTACACTAGTAGAAATGTTTCTTCTCAGACTTTATTCAGTGCGCTAACTGTGTCCTGCTTTCCTCTCTGAGCAGGCATGGCTGCAATCCACGAGGCCGTCCTGTCTGGGAACCTGGAGTGTGTGAAGCTCCTGGTCCAGCATGGAGCAGATATCCACCAGAGAGACGAGGAGGGATGGACGCCTCTGCACATGGCCTGCAGTGATGGCTTCCCACACATTGCACGGTGAGCCTCGGGACTTTCTCCTTTATAGTTAAAAAGTTTAGCTTGAGGGAAGATTGTGTGCAATGCAAATCCAAGGAAGCCACACGAATCGCAGTGAGCCAGCTGGAGGAGGCTGACATGTTTACAGTCCACAGATGTAGAAGGTCACGCTCCCTGACACTGAAGCATGGTGATCTTTTTCACTGACGACGGTTTATCTTTCTTTCAGCTATCTTCTCTCCCTGGGTGCCGACCCCGAGCTGGAGAACGAATGCGGGGAGACGCCGGCTGATCTCATCGATGAGGACGACAAGGAGCTGCTGGAGCTTTTCGGGCTAGCTGCCAACGACTGAGACTCCCTGAAGCAGCCTTTAAACCCTGAAAATCGTCTGCTCTGCAGGAATGGTTCGGCAAAGCCACGTCGGTCCAGGATCCTGACTCTGTGAGGTGCCTCAACTTTGATCCAGGACTGCGGAGGTCTGGTGGAAGGAGGGCTGACAGAGCTGGTCTGGATGCCCTCTGAGTGGAGTCGATGTTCACTAAAACTCCAGCAGCACAGATTTGTTGTTTCCTGTCAGGGCTTCAGATCTTTTTTTTTAATGCTGTGAACGAAATGAATCTTTGGGTTTTGTTTGGTAGGAACTTTACGACTTCTGCCTGTTGAAAGCTTTGAACTAACAAAACCAAACAGGCTGCAGTGTGTGCAGTGTGCAGCTTATCAAGTTGGTTACTTGTGCCTTTTGATTATTGTGAGTTAAATGTTCTCTTTATAGTCTTTTGTATGACTTTTTATACTTATTTTTTAATAAAGTTTATCAGTTTGTCTGACTTTGCTGTCATTTCCCTGCTTACCGTGAAAAAAACCTCTGGCTCGTGTTTCACATGAACATATGTCAATGCTGCATCTTTAAAATGACATCAAACTAATCGATCACAGAGGAAAACCACAAAAAGCCATCATAGCCTCTTGTGCCAAACACTGCAGTACCTCCAGTGACCACTTGAGGCTGGCTCCAGTCGATCACATTTTAAAGCGTCGAGATGAGCATTTTGCTTCCCCATGTTGGTATGAATATTAAAAATATAAGGTTAATTCATAATAAATCAAAATCAATGACCGAGCCCACAAAACTTATCTCAGCACTGTTTACAGAGGTCAGAGGTGAAGGATCATTCGTATAGGAAACTTATGGCCAACTATGGAAGCGTTTCAGCCACAGCAGCCTCAGGTCAGCTAACTGGTGGGACAAAATGAAAAAGGTATTCTGGACGTATGCCCTCAACACTGCCACTTTTAATGAGGACTTCCTGTAGATCTATTTCTTACAGTCAGTATGTTGGTCCTAAATTTGACCCAAGTGACCGGCACTGACCTGAAAATATTGTGTTTCCTCAGTGACAGCGCAGTGTCTTCAGTGTATCTGCTCTATTTTAGTGTCCGTTTTGTTTTGGGTTTCAGTCTCTTGTGGTTACTCTACCCTGACTTTGCACTTCCTGTGAGATGCCCTGAGAGGATAGAGAAATAATGCATGTGCTTAGCTTTCCCTGTGTTGAGGGAACCGGTAATTGTTCTGTTGAAATCTTTGTGTCTCTGCAGCCTGAAGATTAAGATTTTTTTAACTTGTTCAAATTTTTGGCCATAATCTTTTGACTTTTCTTTTTTTCTCATTCCGTTTATTGAGCACAGGTGAGTTGAGGGACACCACTAATACTTCAACTAGTTTTTGTTTTTTCACCTTTTTGGTTTGTGGTGAGGCATAATGTTAGAACTGTAGCTGCTTTGACATAATAATAACTTTATTTGTAAAGCAGTTTTCAAAACCCAAGTGCTTCATAGTTAGAACAAAAGCCGAATACAGAGATGTATGTGGAAACATGCAGACACATAAACAAACAAGTTATCATCCATAAAGTCAGATATTCACTCCAACTATGACCAAAATAAATAGGAAAAGATTAAGGGATATATTAATATGAGTCACCGAACTGCTAAATATTTCAAAATATGGTGGGTGAAACTGATCTCAGAACAGGTAGAACTCACATAAAGAATATTTCTCCTCAACACATGAATTATGAATGACAGAAGACCTAAAAAACCTTCCTGGAGAACAGAAAGTCCAGCCTGAAATGATGTCCTACCTTAACATCTAGCAGGGCATCGACGGTGGAGAAATCTTCCTCACCTGGCTCTTCATCCTCAACGTAGTCAACTCCTGGCTTGAAAATCACGACCAATATCATTCCTACAACACACAATTCAAGACTGAGTGTAGGAATCAAGAACAAATGCATACAGATGTTTTACCCTGGCTTTTAAGGAATGACATATCGATCCCGTTTCCAGGTCCAAGCACTTCCTGCTCTGGATCATTCTCTGCAGCTCTTTATCAGCACTATTTATGTATAGCACATATTTAAGCTATAAAAAAAACCTCACAGTTAACACTAGAGGCTCACAGTGTCCTGAATAAATCACTCTCTCCAAAAACATGCAGGGGGTTAGTGTGAAAGAAGAGGATCAGGGGAGATCGGAACAGATATAGCGACCCCCTAAAGGGAGCAGCTGAAAGAAGAAAAGGATCATTCTCAGGTAGGATTTCACTGTGGACATTTAGCTTAGGATCAGGACTTTTTCATGGCGAGTCGTCCAAATCACCCAGCAACATATTGTTAGATGTAACATGATTCAACATGATTCGTAAGAATCATGTCAGAACTTCTCTGGCTGAAGTTTGGTCCATTTTCTGTGTCTTTGTCTCAGCCCATCAGTGACCTTCAACAAGCACTTTTACTGAGAACAATTTAACCATCACAAAACATTTGTCTTTTGCTAATGTGTCTATATTACCACAGCTAACCACAGCTCTATAACCAGCCAACTTCAGTCACCCTAATGTTGCTGATATTTAGTTTTCTGTCTGTGTTTATGTTCAAAATAAAGTGGTGATGCACATCTTAGTTCTTTTGGAAATAACTTTTAATTCAGCTAAAACCTGTTAAATATTATTGTGATGGGAGAACATCCACACTGATTGTTTGATTGGAGCTGAAAGAATGTGGGTCATTTTAAACTCTCAGGGGACCCTTGGTGTGACCAAGTGTTTTGTCCTGAAAAGGGCGAACAATATCACACTTAAAAAGTGAATTAATTAATAATTATTATTAATTAATTGTTGGTAATCTGAAACATTTGTCTCACCTGTGATCACAGCTATCAGTGAGCTTGACATAATATATATCACTGCACAAATGGCAATTCTTCTGGATGCTCTGACAGTTAGACCAGAAACACCTAAACACATACACCAGCACAAGCAATTTAAACACATTTCTCAAACCTCTCCCACCCTATACCAGGCCAAGGATATGAACATACCATCCTTAACATAGTTACTCACTGTGGTCACATGGATGACAGGTCTGTCTGGATATTTGATAACTCAAAACTTTGCCAAACCAGTTAACAGTGTGAGGGAAACAAAAACATGCAACTTACCAACAACCACACTGGTTACAATAAGAGGAACAGTAACCACCTGAAGCATCCGCATGAGTATTTCTCCAGGAAAGCCGACGTAGTGCCGGGTGACTGAAGTTAAATATGTGTAGGTCTTCAGAATCAAGCCCAGTATGACACCTGTGAAAAAACAAGAAAAGATGTGGACAAAAGAAATGCTCCAAATTTTCAGGATTAAAGTTTTATTTTTACATACAAGAGACAAAACAAAACAAGCCTAATAAAGAAAAAAAACCCTGCCAAATTACAAGAAAATGTTTTATTATTATTTATTATTATAAATAGTATTTATTTCTATTTTTAGTGAAGGATCAATATTACTACACTTTTCTTGGTTAGAAGTTATTAATAAACTCACACATTTAAACTAACACCTCCTTTCAATCATATTATAAAGGCCAACGACAAACTGCGAACTCATTTTCATTAACAAAAGTCTTCTTCTGACAGAAACCCTTCATTTTTGTTTTTTAGCCTTCAGTGTTATAATTTTTCATCCAACAACTTTGTAAAAGATTTGGATACAAATGAAAGTTACTCTGAATGAATTATCAGTGTAAACCCTGTCTGTTAGATTTTTAAACAAACAATGAGTGTTTTTATTTACACTTGCAATTTAAAAAAGAAATAGTGCTGTTTTGGTATAAACTAGCACATTTGGTTTTTATTTGGTATTTCTTTTTTATTCTTTCTGTTTTATTGTAATATTTAATTTTAGTAAATAAATTGCAGGAGCAACCTTTTCTAATGTTCCCATGTAAACTTTATTTGAATTATTTCAACAGCAAGGAGGTATCAGCAGCTTTCAACTGTCAGCAGTGGAAACGGTGAAAACACCTGTGATGGCTCCATTAGCCCACCAGGTGTAGCTGTTTAACCTGGTGGGATTTTCACCTGCAACAAATATGCCAAAAAGAGAGTTCTGATTATCTGTGACCAGCTAAACATTTTAATAACAGCTGCTATCAACATAAAAGAAAAAGACGGAAATAAAGAAACCACTGGCGCATGCGCAATTAATATTGACGTTATTTTAATTCACATTTACCCTGATTAAAATTCAGTGATTAAGCCTGTTGACTTGCCTCATACTGTTTGACTTGCATCAGAAGTAAATTAACCCTGTAAGTGTATTTATAAAACACTTCCACAGACATTTAGTCACAGAGCGCTGTGCAGCTAAACAATAACCTGGAATAATCACAATAAAGTGAAATTAAAATACATTTAACAGCAGCACAAAACCATACTGCTCAGAACAAACTAACTGGTAACCAGTCATCACTTACCACCAGCAACCCCCAACAGACTTAGGAACAAAAACTTGTTGACCAGGACAAAGTTCCAGCATTTGAGCAGCCTTTGCCTCCAGATCGTAGCAGCGGCAGCGGCAGCAGTGCTTTCCTCCTCGCGACCGTTAGTCGCCATTTTTCTGCTGCACAGTTAGCTAAAAATGTAGACAAAGCGACATTCGCTGGCTACTAATCACGCAGTTATAAAATAATTTATAACTAGATATTTATGAACAAAGTTAAGAAACCATTTCGATAAATAAATAATGAATATAATGAACATAAAATGATCGCTAGCCTCAGAAGTCTGACTTTTACCAACTTTTCAAAGGTATTCTAGGATGGAAGTCACGTGACCACCAGGCGAAACTCCTTGGCGCGCTGATTCCAACTTTTGTTTGTTTGTTTGTTTTTGTTTATTTGTTTGTTTTTATCTTTGGATAAGTTTGTCTATTTATTTATTTATTCTGTGAGAAAATTTGGTCAGTGTGAGGAATAGAAAAAAATACAAATAAAAATGTACTAATGAAAAGAAAGGACGAGGGCACAGAAGTTATTACAAACTGAATTCAAAAGAGGAGATTAAGGCTCGCTGGCTTTCTGATTTGCTCATTCTTGGACTGTTTAAAAGTCAAGTTTCATTTCATTGTTCAGCTGGTGAACATTGGGTTTCCTGCCAGAACATTTGCATTAAGAAGAATGAGAATAACTTTCTTGATCCCAAAGGGAAACTCTAGTGTCTGACATAACTCATGTCCTATTTTTATGAGAATTTAAAAGCCTGATGGCTGTGGGTGCGAATGATCATCCAGTACTGATGTTTTTCTGTTCCTGTACCACCCGCAGTGTGTCCAATCTGCCAGCTTTCTTCACTACTTTGTCCAGCCTCCTTGCATCCATGTTTCTGATGCTGTCTTCCCAGCAGGCCGCAGCATAGAAAATCACACTTGCCGTTACAGACTGACAGAACATCTCCAGCAATTTACTGCAGATGCCGGGAGATCTTAGTTTTCTTAACAAATAGAGGCGACTCTGCCCTTTTATGTTTAGTTTGTATCTAGGGTTTTAGAGAGGTTCATAATGAGGTAGTTTTTGTGATGACTTGTAAAACCTAAAACAGTGCAATCAATGACATAATTCCCTGAGTAGTCAACTTGCAGAAAATTTTAACTTTTTTTGCAAAAAAGTGCAACACAATTTTCAGGTTCACATAGTTGAATGTTTACTTACTTTCCTTTTATTTTGGGACTGTTTCTTAAAAATATACAAATTACAGGTGTCATTTTTTTCTTTTCTATTTAACATTTCCAGCACAGAACTGTTGTAATTGAATTTTTCTCATGTGGTTTATACTGTGTTGCTTTTGTTTTAGTTTTTTGCTCTTTTCATTTGCGACTTTAACTTTGAAAACTCAAAGAACTGCGAGCTCGTTTTCATTAACCCTCTCAAGGCAGACGTTGCCGATTTGCAACAGTTAAAAACTAACAACCTGATTACCCCACATACATATTTTATGAGTTTGTTTTTTTACTCAGAAGTACCACTGCAGGACTTGGTTGTGCATTAGCAACAAAAAACTTAATTTGAGCCTGAGAGGGTTAAAGTGAGCTCTCTTCTGATCTGAGCTAACATTCCCTGCTACGTCCAGCTATCTGCCAGCTTTTTCTGGCTCATAAATTTGCCTTTTTTTTCTCCTTTTTTTTTTTTAATCTGTCAGTCATAGTGGTCATTTTGCCAAAAAACTGTTGATGCAAATCACTTTAAACTGCAATGTAAAAATTCAAATGTCAGACAGATTTGGGCTCAGAGAGGGGCAGCCATCTGCTTCAGCCAGTAGCAGTTTTAGATACAGGCGACAAGGGCGGTTGCCCGGGGCGGCATCGTGGTGGGGGGCGGCATCACGGGCATCGGCAAAAAAAAAAAAAAATGCTTGTACTCAGCTGCCCCGAC